ACGATGTGAATGATGAAATGTTTACTAAGCGGTTAAAAGAAAAATTATGTGAATATAACCCCATTAAAAACAAATGGGGTATTTGAAAACAACTCTACGATAATGGAATAGGTAGAAATGGTCACAGTAATGAACTGTTAGAAGCTCTAAAGTTTGGAAAAAATGTGTTTTAAAAACAGAAAACATCATTTGCGATTGGTGGAAAAGAGAACAGATTACATATGAAATAAACCAATTGTAATTATTTTTGTTGACAACAGTGACTTATTAGATTCAGAAGAATAAAATACAAAATAGATTACCTTCGGCAAGAAAATAATTAAAAAAAGTTTTTACATTTTAACTTAATTTTTTATTTATATAAATAAAATAAATGTATTAATAACTTTTTACTTTTACAAGAAAACATGCAAATTTATCTTCAATAAGATAGCCATGATAAATCTACAGTTTAACACTGGATCTTAACGATACCTTTGGGGGCGACTAGATTGATTTCACGAGGACAATAGAAAATAGGACTTTTTCTTAAACATCAAAAATCAAGGTTATAAAGTTGTATAAATAATAAACAGGTGTAATTAAACATTTAGTACAAATTAGTCACATATTAACTAAAAGTCAAAAATCTGATTAAAAATAAAGCAGGAAAACTTATTAAATTATTAATAATAGAACGAGGGTATTAATCTAGGACTCACTCGTTTGGTATTTGTCACGTTATTAAAATATATTAGAAAGTGATAGAATCCACATATCATCAAAGATAGGCAGAAGCTTGTTTTTGCCTCAATTTGAATTATAAAAAAAATACAAACAAGAATGAGTCATTCGCAGCTTATTTCAGTAGATACCTAATTGAATATCGGTGTAAATTTAATAAGTAAAAATTTTGAGTTCAAAAATGGCGACTTCCTCCAATTACTTAACTATTTACAGTATAACATTTTTTGACAATTTTTTTTTACAAATATTCCACTGTTTCGTTATAGACCGTCAGATAGTGACTGATATAGGTGCCCCATTTTCGTATACAAGCCTCGAAGAGGGTTGAAGAGTACATCGATTTTGAGTAGAATGAAAAGAAATTTACGAGTGGCCTCTGGGTATAACATGGAAAATTCGATTTTCCTTAACAGAAATAAAAGGTGTTTTTTGCTCATTTTTCCACGCAAGCCGTTTTCACTATATAATTAATTAATAGATCTAGGCTTCGAAAAACTAAAGGCTTTAATGTTGCAAGTCTTATAAAAAAAAATCGATATTTTAACCGATTTTTCCACACAAGCCAACCGAGAGTATGAAAACATACATCGTAACTAGCCCGAAAAACATATTGGCTTGAGTGGCGCCGAGTGGATGAGTCCATTTTGAGGTTGGAAAATTTAACAGAATTTTTTTTTTTTATTTTTCAGTTATTTTCCCATCAACGAATTTTTTTGCAATAAAAACTTATAAATTTAAGAGCCCAGAAAAAAATAATGGCTTGAGTTAAGATGTGGTCTCCATTTTTACAGAAAATTGAAAAGTTGCTGGAAAAATGTAGGCAAATTGCCACAATTTTCCTACACAAGTTGTTTGACATATGTTTAGAAAAAGTGATTCCAAGACTATATAACAAAAGGCTTGTGTGTCGGACATGGCCATCATATTATTTATATCTTTATAATTTATTTAACGAAAAGCTGACAAGAAAATCTAGAAATTTCCACCATTTTCTCACGCAAGCCGTTTGTCATATGCTTAGAAAAAGTAATTCTAAAACGGACATGGAGCATATTATCTATATAAAAAAGAACTGACAAAAAATGTATAAATAAATATTTATACAGGGTTATTATTTATTATAAAATAAAATGAATTTAGCTTAAAGCCAGAATATCACATAAAATACAACGACCGTTTCCCCTTCAGAAAAACAACTACTCCTTTAACTAATACCACAACAGGCATTGAATTACATCCAAAGGAAAAACAGCAGAGATAGAAATTAATTTTCAACACTCTCTACTTTGATTTTGCTCACCAAGGAGAACATCATTCTTGGACCGGTTTCGTCCTTATTAGGAATCCTCAGCAAGAAATAGATAGGTTCTCATTTTACATGTATCACATTTGAGTTTTGGTTTATTTTCGTTTATTATTTATTGTTCGGTGATTATTCGTATAGTAAATTTTAATATGAATTTAGTGCTGAATTAACAATATGTTTATTTTATAGAAAAATTTATATATTCTTTCAGAAGGCTATTAAATATAAACTTTAAAATACCTGTTAAGGGTCGACCATTTAACCTCTGAGTAAAGTTACATGTAGGTTTATTTGACAGATTAACAAACAATATTCCTATAGTTTTATCAGCAAGTAGTTACTTTCAACTTTACTTAGAGGTGAAAAGACTTGGCCCCATTAACAGATTCCTAACAAAGATATGTTGGTCCATTTTTGAATTTTTATAAAACTAATGTATGTATAAAATAAAAATGCTGCTACTAAACATGAAAAACTAGATATCCTAGAATTTAATGATGACAATGAAGTATTCTATGGAATAGACACTTCTAGAAACCATTTTAAATTGCATTTATGTAAGATATTAAAGCAATCAAGAATGTCATGAGATACATTTTTTGACAGATCAAAATGATTTTCTTGAAGTCGATTAGAAAATGTTAATTCTCCTATGATATTATGTGACATTATTTCAAATTATACAAGTTATTGGATTAAGTAATTATTGTGCGTTCAACAAAATCGAGAGGCCCCATAGGAAGGGCCTCAGTAATGGAGGTAAAATATCAGTTTTTTCTACAATTATATGTAAATAATCTTATATTATTTTTATTTTAATTTTGCAGATTCAGAGTACAATGATGTAAATAATGTAGACGACGCTGTCGAATATGATAATCACAACGAAGATGGATACGATACAGATGATGGAGAAGAAGATAGAGAAGACGATGGAAGCATAAACATCGACGTCTAAGAATCGGACGAATACGAAGCAAGCGGCGAAGAAGAGGACATAAGTGAGGCCGAATATGGCAGGAATGAATTACTTATTTATATATGTAAATTCAACTCGTTATGTATATTGTTAAATCACCTTGTTTTTAATTTAAGTTTCAAAATGAATAATTATATGTTCCATTTTCGATACTTAGGATCTTAAAATCACTATGCCAAACGGATTTTGTCAGAAAATGGTGGACATTTCTAGATTTTTGTCAGCTTTTTGTATATGATAATCATGTCCGACCATTTGTTATATAGTCTTGGAATCACTTTTTACAAGCATATGCCAAACAGCTTGTGTGAGAAAATGGTGGCTACTATAGATTTTCTTGTCAGCATTTTGTTAAATAAATTATTTATAAATAATATGAAGACCATGTCCAACACTCAAGCCTTTTTATATGTAGTCCTAAGGTGGGTCCACATTTTTCCTGTTCGTGCTCACGCTCGGGCTCGTGGTCGCGCTTATGCTGTTTCCGGAACGTTGCTTTTTGTGTTTCTTCTGTTTGTCAAGATCGTTTTATCCGCGAGCAAAAGTGTCCATTTTGTAGTTCTGTGTTTGCGCTCTTGTGGTTCCGACAAAGATGATCTCAATTATTATTAACGGCGGCTGCCAGTGCGTTAATTATTATTATAAAACGAAGAAAACCGAAAAAAGTGACAAAAATACGGTGTTGGATGTCAAATATTTTTAGAAGTAGATGCAAATACAACGGAAGTAATCTTCTCCATGATTTGCAAACATATGGGATGTTTTTAAATAAGTTTTGTCGCAATTAATTTAGTTGGCCCACATATCCAAAGAAAGAATACCACCATGTTTTTTATTATTTAGCTTATAAAATTTATGTTGTGGATTCCACAAAACAGGATAAATTTAGTAAAGCCCAATTAGCTTCAAAATGTTCTCTTCAGTCTACTCCATATTGCACTGCGCCTTGCTCCTACGCTCGTACTTGACTGAACTTGAAAGCGAACAGTAAAAACAAAAAAATCACCAAACCGCCGTCAACAGTGCTCGCGCGCGCAATAGGCATCCCTTTAATGTACCGCTACCCGACCGAACAGTCAAAACAGATATTTTGGGTGATTGCAAGCACGAGGAACGCTGCAAACAGCCCAAACACGACGAATATGATTTTTGCACATACTTTGATTACTATACGGGGCAAGAGAGAGGTCCGACACGCCCAACATAGGGCGCGGTCATTTTGAACCCTATGACACAGTTTATAGCTAAAGAATCAGATCGCTCACTCTGCGTCGGCACTTTTGATCTCAATGTTCCAGTTTATACACTGCGAAACTCGAATAATACAATATATGACAACCGTCTATAATAAAACAGCAGTCTTCTGCGTATCCTGAATTTGTATCCCTGGAGTGGATGTTATTTTGGAACTTTCAACTGGTCCGAGTGAGCTAACTGATTCTTTGACAATAAACTGTGACTCCAAAAATAATATTCACTGACACTGACAGCAGCAAGCAAAATATCAGGTGCGTTTTAATAATCCGCTTCTGCTTCCGGAATTGTCGGTTTAGTCGTTTTAACCTGTCAGATTAAAACAAGAAAACCGACAATTCCGAAGCAGAAGCGGATTATTAAAACGCACCTGATATTTTGCTTGCTGCTGTCAGTGTCAGTGAATATTATTTCTCCATATGTTATCCCCAGGGGCCATTCGTAAATTTCCTTTCATTCAAAATCGATGTACTTTTCAACCATCTTTAAGGCTTGTATCCGAAAATGGGGCACCTAAATTAGTCACTATCTGACGGTCTACTATCTCTTATTAATGTTTTATGTGAATTGATATTAAAATTTAGAATTTCATTAACATTAAGTATGAGTTTCTTATACCTGATTTTTCATTTCAAATTAAAACTCAAAAATCATTATCCTAATATTTCACAAATACGAATTATCTAGTTTTGGCACTAAGCCGACGAATTATATTTAAATTGTAAAAATACTTACTAGCTGCACAGTTGGTACCAGTGATCAGTACTTCCAAACCAGTTACTACCAATATAATTATTGTCCATAACATTTTAGGATGTTGTTTACTATAAAAATTCAATGGTTATGAAGAACATTAGTATAGTTTTTAATTTAAAATAGCTCCTGAATTTATAGCAGTTTTTAACTTAAATAATTATGTATATAATAGCAATTAATTTGGACAGGTTAAAATTTATTGACTATTACCTGTATAAACAGATACTTACAAGTTTTTTGCTTATTTGTGTATCGTTTAATTGTTGTAATTAAAGAGTACAATAATTGATCCATATGTTACTAAATATTGTAATTTTTCATTTCTTAATATACCGGGTGTTCAAATTAAAGTGTTACAGTTAAATACCGCCGAAAATATGCATTTTAGAAAAAAAAGTTTCAGACAAAAGTTTTATAGTTTTTTGGGGGAAACATTTTGGCTAAATTCATTTTTTTATAGCTGACCATAATATGGCCATATCGAGGTGAACTTTGTTTTTTTAAATGGGAATCCCATTTTTTTCTTACATATTCTTAAAGTACATAAAAAAATTAGAAATTTTTGAGGGAAATTTTTTTTTATTGGACTTTTACTTTTTGAGTAACAGCTTCTTGAAAATGTTGCTGCGAGAAAAAAAAGTTGGCCATATTATGGTTAGCTATAAAACGATTTTAGTCAAAAGTTTTTCCCTATAAAACTATAAAACTTTCGTCTGAAACGTTTTTGTTTATAAAAAGCGGTATATAGCTGTAACGCTTTAATTTAGAACACCCGGTATAATATCACTTTATAACATCAAATATATGTAAAAGGTTTTTACAAAACATACCACAAATGGCAGAAGCCTACTAAGTTTATACTAGTTTTCTTAATAAAAATATTTGATCTTTTTTATTAGTTTTGAATTTTAAATTATGCTTATATATCCTGTTTTTAAAATATTTATAATATTTTCGATTTCTCTCATTTTCTTAACCTTGAACTTTCCGAATTTTTGCGCCATTGTAAAGTCCCTATTTTTCTAAAAATAATAATAGCTCTCTTCATCTAATCTAAAGCATCAGTATTCTTAGGTACTTAAAATAATATATTTTAATACATATATCTGATTAACAAATCTGATATTTGTTTTCTACCTTTTTCAAGCACCAATGAATCATCCACTCGATAGGTGTTTTTATGAAGTGAAAAAATTCATTATTAATAAGTACGTTCATTTTTGGTTAATAAGTACTTGATTTTGGATAACAACAATTTTTATTTATCCGAATTATCCTAGACAACGGTGTCCAGTTTCAAAGTGAGGAATTTCGTGAGTTGTGTACAGAATATGAGGTTGAGTTGGGCTATATTGCAAACTACCACCCGCAAGCTAATCCCGTTGAACGCGTCCACAGAGTTCTCAAAACCATGCTCAGTGCCTATGCCTCTGACAACCACAGAGAATGGGACCTCTATCTTCCCAAAGTGGCCTGTGCGTTACGTTCAGCACGCCACGAAGTTACCCAACTTACCCCTAATTTCATTGCTTTTGGTCGTGAAATTGTTTTATCAGGTAAACAAGACCTTCCCTTAGACGCGGCACAAAAATGATACGTAAAAAATGACTAATTTGCATAATTTTGTTAATCCGAAACCCGCGTAAGTATAGCGAACAGACTATACAGGGGTGGTCCATTTAACTCGAGACAGCGCAATATCTCAAAAACTGTAAGTTTTTAAAAAAAAAAGTTTAAATAAAAGTTGTTCGACGTTACGGGGGAGGTGTAATGATGAATTTTTTTTACATTGACAACTTTTTGAAGGTTTTTTTCAAGGTTATCTCTCTTTTTTTAAAAGGAAATATAGATTTTTTTATTTCAGAATCTTGTTGTATGTAAAAAAGCAAATAAGTTTTGTTTAAAGAAATTTTTCATAGATAAAAAATAAAATAACATTTTTTTTTTTAAAATTTTATAATAATGAAATGGTTTAGTAAAAATGTTTTTCTTCTTACAAAAAATTAAATGACACAATTATATAACAACAAAAAAAAAATAATATAACAAATACTCAAAAAGATGACCATCAACTTCAACACTTTTTTTGTTGTTGTTTGATATGATAATTGTGCACTTTAAGAAGAAAAACATTTTTAGTAAACCATTTCATTATTATGAAATTTTGAAAAAAAAATGTTATTTTATTTTTTATCTACTGAAGATGCAATTCTATGAAACATTTCTTTTAACAAAACTTATTTGCTTTCTTATATACAATAAGATTCTGAAATAAAAAAATCTATATTTCTATCTAGAAAAAGAGAGTTAACCTTGAAAATTCTTTAAAAAGTTGTCAATATAAAAAAAATGTTCATCATTACATCTCCCCCGTAACGCCTAACAACTTTTATTTAAACTTTTTTTTTGAAAAACTTACCGTTTTTGAGATATTGCGCTATCTCAAGTTAAATGGACCACCCTGTATGTACCTATCGTTGTAGGTACTTATATAATATTATTATATTAGGATTTAAATCCTAATACATTTTTATATTAGTTATTTCTCTCTAATCACTTTGATGAATAATTCCAGAATTGTAGGTATACCAAAAAATAAGCATATAAGTAGATAATTTAGTACAGGGGCGGTTTCTCCATTAGTTCGTTTGTGCAGTGAACACCCACTTAAATTTCATAAAAACACATTATTTTAAAGTTACATAAATTACATAAAAATATAAATTTAATTTGAATACTTTTATTTTCATACATGTTAGTTTATATTTTTTGGTACATCATTGTCCTCTAGCTGATTGCATCTCTGTGGCACAGTATACCTAAGTATACTCTGTCTGTGGTGCATTATAATGAGTAAGCCTAACACGAGTGAGACGATATGGTAAATTCATATAGGTAATAAATATATTTAAAAAAAAAAAACTAAAAAACACGCTTTTAGAGCATATCAAACTAAAAAGTTAAAAATAATTTTTCAAATAAGCTTAAGACAATAATAAATGGAAAATACTAGTATTATTGTGAAAAAAGCATCGAGCGCTCGATGTACGAGAAATATAGACTAAGCGCCACACGATTTTTTCACAATAATACTAGTATTTTCCATTTATTATTGTTTTAAGCTTATTTGAAAAATAATTTTTAACTTTTTAGTTTGATATGCTCTAAAAGCGTGTTTTTTAGTTTTTTTAAACTATATTTATTTTTCACTTTTTATTTCGATGTATTATAAAAAGGTGTTTTTTAGTTTTTTTAAACTATATTTAATAATATTTATTTTTTACTTTTTAGGTCGATTAATTATTAAAAAAATTGCTGAAAAAAACAATTATTTATTTTTCAACCGTGGGCGGGATTAGAACCCATGATCGGTGAGTCTGGCGATCGATGACCCGCGCCTTAGACCGCTCGGCCTACAAACGAACTTGAGGTAGTGGGATATACTGACAGTAATAAGCCACTTGCTTTTAGTCCAAAGGAGAGTTACAAACATGCTAATAAAAGCGTGTTAAAAAGAGAAGAAAACACGCCAACAGATTCTTCAAACTGTCAAAGAACACATTAATTAGCACGCCGCTCACAAACAAGATTGCCAAACCAGTGTTGCCAGTCTAATAAAATTCACAATTGTACTAGATGTAGTACATTCTGCGAGTTCACGTGTAAAATATATCGTCGCCCTTATCTCGAAGTGACCTAACCAACAAAAATTAAAAGAATGTTTTTTGTGCGGATTAACTAGTTTTGACCTTCTTTATCATCTCACGAAGTGGCACATCTACAACCTAATAGTGCATGCAATACAGCATATTATTTCTGTGTCCTATCTGCAATAACGCACAACGATATGAGAATTACGTATTTTCGTTTTAAAATTTACTATTTGTCACTTATGCCACTACATGATGAGGGCGACGATATATATTGTGTTCCTTGTTTGTGTTCGTTATCAATAAAGACCCCCTTTTTTCCCCTTCAATGAATTAGATGTCACTGTAAATAAAATTCGAAAAATCTAATACATTTAAGGAATCTGGTACATTTTTTAGACAAACCTGGTACATAACAAAAACATATTCTGGCAACACTGTACTAAATAAAACAAACTGTCATTTCGTTTTCCGTCATTTATGAGACGGTTTTAATAAAATTATCATTTAAAAAATCTGTTCAATTAAGAACTGCAACTTTAATAAATTGGAAGGATGTATGTCAATTTAACGATTGCTCCCGAAACAGGCAAGGTAACTAAAAACTTTTTAAGGTTATGTTGTTTACATATAATAAAGATTTACTACTGTAATTTGTTTTATATTTTGTTTCAGTGCCTAAGACCATCCCAAGACTAATTCAGAATGGTCTATTTTGTACTCAATTGTAAATACTATGAAGCAAGAAGTAAGCAAAAAATTTGTAATTTTTTCCCCACAAAACCCGCTAAAAGGAAAAATTTTATTATTCTGATGAGGTAACTACATCATTATGAAAATGTACAATAAAAATTGAATAAATATAAAGAGACAAATGGTTTTTCACTTTAAAAGTCTGAATCGGAAAAATGAATTAACCAGTTAATTTAATATACTCGATGAGAAATTTTACCTAAGAAATAGTATGTACATTTAAATAGTTTACCTATATAAAGTTATGTTTGCCTGCAATTATCAATCGTGTTACCTTTTAACCAAGATCGTTTGTTGCATACAAACCAGAAATATTCTATTTTAATGACAGTTTTTTATTGCCTTGATTGTTTAATTTAGTATTTGCAAAAATATTAAATTTTATGGTAATTTGAATCACTACAGGTATTAAATAAAAATAAAGCTATTGGTAAATTAGTTTACAGTTGTTAATAAAGAATGTCTCGAAAAAAAGTCTCGAAATAAGTATCAAACATAAATTGTGATTTCGATTAGGCACTTAATAAGTCACATCCCACATATCTACATGCTCTGGCTAATCAAAGTATATATTAAAATATTAATATACTATGAAGCCGATTTACCTATTTAAACAAAATTAAAATTATTTTATTTATTAAAACAGATTATTTTTTAGTAAACTTTGACATGCAAAAGTAGCCATGAGGGTAGAACATTAGTGAGTGCAAGAATACTTTGGAATGTGCTATAAAATACACTTAGAAAGGGTCATATATGGAGAATTAAGTATTCACAGAGGTTAACGATATTAACTGCATGTCTTTTATATTTTTACTAATACTTTCTTGCCTATTATTTTAACCTTTTCTCTAAATCTATGTATCGTATCGTCAAGTTTTATATAGTATCTGCATTTTGTAATAGGTTCAGTGTTTATTTATACATATTTTTACATATTTACACATATTTATTATTTTACTAGTGATATATCTATATATTCATTATACACTGATAAAAGTGTAAAGTTTTTGAATTTTTACCTAAAGTTGATTTTTGTGCCTATCAAGTAAAATTTTGTTTTGTTAGTGATAAAACTTTGTGCCTTTAATAAGGACACAATTTCAAAGTAACGAGCCATTTAACCCAGTAGTTGAGGCGCCATTTTTGTAACGTGATACTTGATATTTTATCTATTTCTTATAGTGTTTTAAGCTCAATGGATTTTGGAAGTGGGTCAGGTTATTAAATAACTCGAATTACCTTAAAAAAGAAGTTGGGATCCACTATATTTAAAACTTACTATACTTGACTATATATTAGTGATAAAAATATAGAAAATCACAAAGCATTAAGATTTCATATTTAAACCAAGTTTTAGATAAGGTAGTAACAAATTCTAATTCACAGAGATTTACTTAATTCAAATTTAGATGATTTATTTAAAAAAATATACTTATCTGTTGTTAACAGGTGGTAATTAAATTAGGAGTGTGATTTTCATGAATTCAAGGCCTTCTTCTAAGGGAGTCGGGATCGTTATTCTTAATTCTGGACTTGAACGATCTTCTATAGGTGAACCAAACTTCGGTCTTCAGATGGCACCAAACACTTAGGTATAAATATCCATAAACTTCTTGATATAAACCGTTTAGATACAAATCTCCATAAACTGTTTTAGATATAACTCGAAATAAACCGTCTAGATATAGCCATGCTAAAAGGAAAAGGTAAAAATGTTAAGAAAGGAAATAGGAAATTTGCACAAATGTAGCATTTCTGAGTACAGATTTTGGAGGTTGCAGCATTGCACACTTTGCCATCAATCATTGTAAATAACAAACTATGGGATATGTAGATTTCCATAGTACCTAAATTAACAGTTGTAGGAGTTAAATCTTTAATTTGATTCTCCATGTAGATCTTCTCTGCCAGAGTAATTTCGGTTGTCTCAGGTACAAACTGTAGCCTAACAGGTCAACAAAATCGGAGTGAACCAGGGGCCTATTTCATAAAACTACTTTGCAACATTTCACTTTGCAAAATACTTGTAATTTATAAAATAATATCGTTATCTTTGCAGATTATTAATTTTTCATTTTTAATTTGCAAATTGCTTTTCAAATTTTACTTTTTAACTTGTCAAATTTCTCTTTCATGAAACATGAATTTACTAAAATATGCAAAGTGCAAAGTGAAAAGTTGCAAAGTTGTTTTATGAAATAAGCTCCAGGTCGAGGATTCTACCAAACTACCTTATTTCGTTTGCTAGATATGAGTTGAATAGGCAAAAGGGATGTTAAAAATATACTGTCATCTGAATTATTACCGCTTTCAAATATTTGTTTGTACTGGGTGAACCCTAAGCTTCCATTACACCCTCATTTACATACCAATATTAAACACTGAAGTTTTGTTCTGTTAAGGACTGCAAAACATCAATTTGCACTACACGCCTAACGGTGTGGACAAGTAATTCTTGCAACTTTACTTCGGCATTCGTCTCTGTAATTGTTATAGCTTCACGGTCTGGATAACAATGTTTCTTAGCATTCTGGATATTTTTATATGATGGGAATCTCCTTTTGTCTTCACTTCTCACTACCTCATATTGATGTCTAGTCAGTTTTGCTTCGACTAGAACCGATAAAGCCCGTTCTCTAGATAGCTCTTCTACTTTGTACCTATTTGGTGTCGAAAAATTAACCTCTTTAACTCCTGTGCTTGCGTCTATTTTTTCCTCAGGTCGTAGATTCATTTGGGCCGCATATACAAGTTCAGCAGAACTTAGTTGAGCTAGAACTTCCTCGGTCTTTCTTCTTTTTGAATGTTCACTACTTCTTGTAAAATCTAAGGAAGGGGCGACCTCCCGATACCGTTCTAGCTGGTTTGTTAAACACAAGGAAGTTAACATCAGTGTCTAGCCATTTCTTATTTTGTGCAAAAAATCAGTTATTTTTGAATTGTGCAGACTTAAACTTGACTTTAATGTCCGTAGTAAAATAGGAAATTTTGTGTTTAATAGCATGCAACATTTTTTCGGGGCACTGGGTTAACTTTGTTATATCAGTTAAAATATGCTGACATATTTCTTTAAATTTTGTTGAGTTGCATTTCAACAGTACCTTAGAGAGATATTTTTCTATTAGGCATGAGGTTTTCCTCCATATCTTTTGACCCTGTAATATCCAGAAAAATTTAAAAATTATGTTGATAATGGATTATTTTAAAATAAAAAAATCTGATGTGTCCAACACATGACTTTCCTATCTAGTTATTATAGGCTTTTTCCGGTTATTTTGTATAACCTATTAGTCTAAGATCCGAAGTAAGGTCGACCTTCACCCATCTGTTTAATGGATGAAAGTTTCTTTTCATTACATAACATAAATTTATAAATATACCGAAAATGGGTTGCCTAAGAAAATACGGTCCAGAGTATTTTTTTCTTAAAGTAAAAAAAACGACACCCTGTAAAGTATTCCCCAGATGCTTCAACTATGCCCAAACTTTAATCAGCTCACCGCAGGATGGATTAAAGCTTAAATTTAAAATTTTGTGTTTTTCTCTTGGTCCGTTTTTGAGTTGTCTTCAAAATTCGAAATTTGCACTTTTCCTCATATATCTCGAATTAGGTCCATTTTAAGAAAATCATATATAGGAACAAAATAATAGATAATGACATCATAAACAACTTTTATCATGATTTTTATACTTTTCTTATCTGTACACAGAAAGAAAAGTAAAAAATGGGCGTGACCGTATTTTCTTAGGCAACCCATTTGCAGTATATTTAAAAACATATTTTATTTAATAAAAAATAAGTTTTTTCCATTAAACAGATGGGTGAAGTTCGATTCTACTTACGGCTCCTGGACTATATTGCAGCATCTCTATAAATGTTTAGAGGATAAACTAAATATATACATTGTCCACATACATCTACTTCGAAACATTTTTCTATAGATATTCATTGAAAACGAAAATACTGAAAAATTTAAATTTATCACTTTTCCATTACTGTCCATTTTAGAAAAATCATTTACAAACAAAAATTATAGAGATCGATATCGCAAACAACTTTTAGTTCAACAATTTTCATAAAAATCAGAATTTTGCACATTTTATCAAATATCTCGAATACGGACCATTTTAGGAAATTTTGACAAAAGGCAAAAATTATAGATAATAATATTAGAAGTAACTTTTATTTGAACAATTTTCTTCTCCAAACATAAATAACAGATATATTCCATAAAATTTAAAAACGGCCTCTATTAAAGTTCCCCCCAGATGTTCCAACTTTGTCCAAAATCTAATCATTTCACGTCAAGCCGAAATAAACCTTAAGTTTAAAATTTAATGTTTTTTTCTTTATCCTTTTTTGAGTTTTCTTCAAAATTCAAAATTTACACATTTTCTCAAATATCACGAATACGGTTTATTTTAGAGAAATTATGTATAAAACAAAAATTATAGAGAATTATATCACAAACAACTTTTATTTGAACAATTTTTATAAAAATTTTTTTTTTACATTTTGTCAAATTTCTCGAATACGGACCATTTAAGGAAAGTTATGTAAAAAACGTAAATAACAGATATATTTTATAAAATATAAAGTACCCCCACAGATGTTCCGACTCTGCCCAAAATCTAATCAGTTCATTAGACGCTGGAATAAAGCTTAAGTTTAAAATTTGGTGTTTTTCTGTGTATCGGTACATGAGTTATGCGACATACAGACACACACACAGACACACACACACACATACACACACATACACATACACACACACACACATACACACACATACACATACACACACACACACATACACACACATACACACACATACACACACACATACACACACATACACACACATACACACACATACACACACATACACACACATACACACACATACACACACACATACATACATACATACACACACACACACACACACACACACACACACACACACACACACACACACACACACACACACACACACACACACACACACACACACACACACACATCATCGCGAAAATAGTCAAAACGGATTCAGGGGACCTCAAAACGTAAAAATCCGTCGAAAACTCAAGGTCGAAAAAATTCATGATTCCAATACTTTCCTTATATCTGTATACAGGTAGGAAAGTAAAAAGCATGTGCAATACAAAATCAAGTTTATTAAGGTGAATACAGCAGCCCTTATAATTTTCGGACAACGATATATCGAAATCAAAATCACGGATTTATCCACCGAGTTGTCAAATTATTAGAGAGTATGGCGAAAGTCTTATTACAAGGATTGTTTATGATATTATTGACATATCCTAAGGCTCTAAAACACATAAAAGGCTTTCAAAATTACAGTTAAGAAGTATACATTTTAATTGCCAGTTATTATCAGTTTAATTCATTTTTCTAGATCAAACTATCATAGTTAAAGGTATTTTCCAGGAACGTACACAATTAATTAATACATCAATAAATTGTAATAGAATCACTGTGTTATAGAGTTAATGTTATCTAAAAAAACTAATATGAATTAAGTACAACGAGTATTCGGTCTGGTTTCACAAATGAAAACTTTTTCAGTTTAGCGATTAGTACAATATACTTCAAAATAAATTATTGTGAAGTCTATTTTTTTCTAATTATATCACTAACCTTCAATTCGGAGAAGAAATAGTGGATGTTGCTAAATAAGTTTGTTACATATATTTAAATTCTTTTCTTAGTGTATTATCCGAATTTTTACGAATCTTGTTCATTTTTACCAGTGTAACAACCGGCAAAAACGTCAACTGTCACCGAGTGTCACTTTAAATTTTGGCCGCCCCGACATCAAACGTGCCGACGCAAGCCTTCGCTTCTGTAATAGTTATTCTGTGGCTAAAGAATTAAGCGGAATTATCTCTAAACATCCCGGAAGTAAATAAAACACAACTTTTAAATTTGCTTACATATTTAACTTCATTCATTATATGCTCTTGTTGGATTCAATAGGCACTATGTAAAATTAATAATTTTCAAACATAATTTAAAGTGGATTTGAATATTTATTAGTTTCAAGCCAATACATATTTCATGTCAGAGATTTTTTATACACTTTTCTGTGATCATTATGTAGTAATTTTGAAGTTTCTAACAGACATATTACACACAAACCTAAATTTTAAATTTATCGTCTCCATAGACAAATATATCAAATAAACTTATTCACCTTAGGGGTGAGCAATGGACCTATTAAGGCATAATAATGTAGATCCGTCTTTCACACCTCACAAAGACAGGAAAATAACCCCTTTAGTAAAATACAACATGTAAATGTTGATAATGGGTTATGGCCCAAGAGCGGTTATGGATGGCGTTCGAAAAGGTACTTGGATCTATTATTCTGTTCACTATGTAAAATCTTTAATCTCATAAATAAAGTCGAAAAGAAATAATATTTTAAAATTTAAAAAAATATCATTTAACAGATTATAATCTTGTTTAAATTAATTTAATAGGTACTTGATAAACCATCTGATATAAGAAAAACAATAGGATATCCCAATGTTATTAGTGATTCATCCTATTCTATTAAAAAATAAAGATTAAATATATTTAACAATAGCTCTCTTATAATTCTGTATATGAGAAAATTTTGTTTTTTTTTTTTCAAATTTGATCCATCAAGATCTTGTCAATGCAGGAACTATTAAAAATTTGACACGTGCTTACTAGAGTACAATTTAGAAATAGAAATTGTTACAAATTACACTGGCCAACAAAATTACACTTTTTGACTTATGAATGACTTATGTCACATCATGTTTACTAATTTTAAGTCGCTGATACTAAATATACCCCACTTTTTTTCTGACAGCTCTTGTTTACGAGTTATAGCTTCCACTAAAAATTCGCTGTATTATAGTGTTTATTAGCAGTTTATTTAATAATAATTATTGAATAAATATACATATTTAATTTTATTTGGAAATACCATTAATTTATAATCCTCTTTAACGACCCATCTGTTGTACGACCTCGGTCACCCCCCTGTAGTTTTTTAGAACATACTTGTAAAGTTAAAATACCTTTCTTTAATGACCGGTAAAACCCAATTTCAGAATTCTTAAGAAATTATCTTTTGTTATTTTAGGGTAAGGTTTAGTAAGACAATAGTGAAATTATCTTCCTTGTTTGAATTATTGTTTTATTTTGCATCGTTAAGAATAGTATGTGTGAATGTTTTATTTGCGGAAAGTATGTATTTAAAGAACACCGTTTAAATGTGACAACGTTCGTAAATGAGGCTTACAAAAATTACTTTAGGCACCCGCTGGAAATGAAGAATAGGCCTTATATTCCGCAAAAGGTATGCAAAACATGCGTTAAGTTTCTACGTTTATGGACAAATAAGAAAAGACATAGCTTCGGGTACAAAACCGCTATGATTTGGAATGAACCCATGAAACACCATAACGATTGTTATTTTTGTTTGGTGAACATAACTGGTATTAACGGAAAAAATCGAGCCAAATGGAAATATCTTTATATACAATCGGCACATAGACTTGTTCTGAGCCCTAAGTCTATACTTGAATCTCAATCGGTTACTTTACAGCAATAGCTAGAAGATTTTTAAACGAAAAACGACAGTAGTGATAGTGACTTTAAATGCGACCTTGGAACGTCAAAACCATTCAATCAAGATGATTTAGACGACTCAATTAAAGATCTGTGACTATCAAAGTCAGCTTCAGAAATTTTGGCTTCAAAGCTAAAAGAAAGAAAATTGGTAACGAAAGAAACTAAAATTTCTTATTACCACACAAGAGAACAGAATTTTCTGAAAAATTTTGCTGAAGAAGACAATTTTGTATTTTGTAAAGATGTACCTGGATTGA